TTATCTGAATGAGTAGATATAAGCTTTTAAATTTTACAGGTAAATTATGTTGGAAGAGCAGCTAACCTTTATGACACTGGTTACCAACTTGATGGGAGTGCTTATGTTATTTCAAAACACATTAGTAATACATGGTTGTGGGACCGTGTGCGTGTTAGTGGTGGGGCTTATGGAGGTTTCTGTGACTTTGATACACACTCAGGTATAAGGATGTGCACTTTGTTTGGCAAACTACTTTGTTAGTCTCTTTTTGTAGAATATTACCTTCAGATTTTATTCTGCAGGTGTATTTTCCTTCTTGTCCTATCGAGACCCCAACTTGCTAAAGACACTTGATGTATATAATGCAACTGGGGATTTTCTGCGTGAGTTGGAGATGGATGATGATACGCTTACCAAAGCAATTATTGGTACCATTGGTGATGTGGATGCATACCAGCTGCCTGATGCTAAAGGTTATAGCAGGTATGGAGGTGACTCTACTATATTATCTTCTTGACCTTAGAAGAGATTTTTATGAGAAGAAATTACTAGACATTCTAAATGGGAAAACTGAAAAGCGTTGTAAAATATCCTACTTATGTCAGCTCTGGTTTTTTATATTTGTTTTTTGTCACTCATACAGAGCAAGTTCCTGTTTTTTAAGTGTATAGAAGCCAACTATGTCATACAAGTAAAAGACGTTTTATGCTAGAATTTTGCATTTTCATTTCTGAAGTACTTAGCTTGATAATTTAAATTCCTCTTCTGCCTCAAGGCAAGGCATGTAATCTGAGAGTAGTTGACTCAGTGGTATTGTAAAATTTTGTAGTGGGTTTAACATTTCCAAATGAAAAATTGTTGCTTCTTTTTTTCTTTCTTTTTTTTTTTTTTTTTTGTTTGGGCTTTGCCTCTGCCTAACATTATTGTGCGTCATATTGATTGTGCTTCTTTTTATCAGTTTGTTACGGTATTTACTGGGGATTACTGAAGAAGAAAGACAAAGGAGACGGGAAGAGATATTATCAACAAGGTAAATCTTAATTTATTATCAAAATTTGGGCCTTTGAGGCATTTTTCGGTTGGTGAAATGCAAGGCTTCATGATATATTAGAATCATATTATTTAATGCTGGAAAGAAATATAGGCTACAGAAATAAGCTATTGATGCATGTAACGGTGATGTTTAAGGTTTTCTCAAACTAGATAATGAGATGTCAAAGTGATACTCATTTTCATAATGTTCTCTCACTTGGTTGAGCGACCATTTTGACATGTAATTTTCCTTTTGCCCCACAGTTTGAAGGACTTCAAAGAATTTGCCGATGTCATTGATGCTGTTAAGGGTAAAGGAGTTAGCGTTGCAGTAGCATCACCTGATGATGTTGAAGCTGCAAACAAGGAACGATCTAACTTTTTCGAGGTGAAGAAAGCTCTCTAATACCTTCAAGAACTGCTTAGACATGAACATGCTTAAAACATTTTTTGTCTTTTCACTTGGGTTAATAAATCCTCAGAACATTGTTTCAATTTCCTCACATGTTTTTATAGATCAAGCAATAGAGAAAACGAGAAGAAATTCTCAGCATATGTAATCTTTCCAATTGGTTTTAGTGAAAAATTACGGATATGAGATTACTTGTGCTTTATAATCAGGGTACCCCTTTCTTTACCCCAGAACATTGGAATTTCTACTACCTTTGATTGCAGTCTTCTAAGAACCCTAGTTGAAGGGATTTTCAAGGGTGCGCAGGTACGGACTCTATTAAAGCGATGCCAGCTTTGTCTTGGAACACAAAAAAATTAAGTAGAAAGGAAACCCACTGCCATAATTCACCCCAAGCTAGCACCTCTTGTATACAATTACAAAGCAATACATCTGTGTCCATTCCATTAAAAGGAAAAAAAAGGGGGGTCTTTCAGTCTAGATTCTCAAAAAACATATGATATATGTAGTAAAAGTAATATTGATATATTTTTAATTAAATTTTTTTATATATTAATTCAATGAGGGTACATGGCTTCATTTTTACTTTTTCTAAAGTTTAGAACGAACCAGAAAAAAGAAAAAAGAAAAAAAACCACATTCAAATATATTATACGTGTGGGTGTCCATTAAAAAAATTGTTAGTCCGTGGAACGTGGCAAAAACTTATTTTTAGTTTTTTCACGTTGTGAAGTTTGAAAGTTTTAGTTACTTATTTTATATTATAATATTTTTAATCCATCACCTTATTAGATTTATAGGTTTTAGTTCATTACTTTATATTATGATACTTTTAGCTTCTCACCTATTAAAATTGAAGAAAATAACTCTCAATTTGTAACATTTTATTAGTTCTGTTAGTTGACTGTTAATTCTATTAATTGATTTTTAGTTGATTGTTAATTATTAAAATTTTTTTTCAACTAACAAAGTTAACAGAATTAACTTATAATAGTTCGTTAATTTTGTTAATTGAATATTAGTTACCTGTTAGTTAATAAAAATTTACTTTTAACTAATAGAATTAATAGTCAGTATAAAGTGAGGATTATTTTTTTTAATTTTAATAAGTGAGGGATAAAAACTTATAAATTTAAATAAGAGATTAAAAATATTATAATATAAGTTAAAGAATTAAAACCTCAAAATCTAACGAGGTAAAAGGGTAAAAAGTAAGTTTTTGCCGTTCAACGCACGGTTTCCAAACCCTTTGGATTCTGCTACCGTCTGATGCCCTTATCCAATGCATAAACTGGGGAAAATCTTGTTCTCAAAGTAAAAAGGTGGGTCTCTGCCTAATCAGGTAGAGCCTAGGTTGGTTGGTT